TCTACATTGTTCAAAGGGCACAAATAAACTGGCTCCTTTATAGAGCTAGCATAAGAATTAAAGATGACAACATATTAGTAATTCATGTAGTAACACATGAATGCTAAACACTATTTTTGTCATTCGTTTTTCTTTTTCCTTTATCAACCACAATATAAAATTTCTCTTCTATTTTACCAACTGCATATTATTCAAAAGTAGCTCTTGTTTAAGATTCCTCCTCTGACTAAATATCCCAAGTTCCTTCAGCATTTCCTTGTCAAGTGTGAATTTAAGTTTCTTCAACTTCTTATTTACTCTCTTCTAGTCAATTTATGGTGGCAATGCAGTTTTCTTTTAAATATATAGAACTAAGAAAAATTGTACCCCTGCAAGTTTGGCATGATAAATTACTCCTTGAAGGTGGTCAGAATAGCCAAATAAAGGAAGGATCTTCTCACTGAGAAATGATGTTAACAAGCAAGGGAAAAGAAAGTATAATATACATGTTTTGTTTACTAACAATGGCCAAACTGGCTAACATCACACAGAAGAAAGATTTTAACGGGAATAGATTGTGAAATCCCTGGAGTTATTGTTACAGAGCTACCCCAAAGGAAGATGGATGGCTCGGATGAGTCCTCACCCACATGCTTAAAAACTCAGGACAAGACTGAAGGTCAGGCACCCAGAATATTTAACAGATTTATTTACAAGGAAAATGAGAGAAGGGGAGCTCAGAGAAAGAGAAAAAGTGAGATTGATTAAATTTTTCCTACTAGCAATGCTGTCTGAGCTGAACCCGGCATGCATAATAAGGGCAGGAAAATCAAGCTCTCTGCAGGCCCCAACGTGTTCAGTTTTATACTGAACAAACACCCCCTTCAAGGTGTCAAATACCATGGCAGATTCATGGCATGATGGTAGTTGTAATCCTTGGTGCCTGGGATCTCTTTGGCATGGAGTCTATCTCTATGGAAATGGAGTCCATAAAACATGAGTGTGTGGAATTTATCCAGGACATACTTTTCCCCCAATACTATGAGACTGGTCTCTATCAACATAGAGGAAGACTAAGGATGTCATCTTTCTAGGGGACTGATTTACCATTTGAATGCAAGCTACCATATTTATGTGAGGGACTCATCAGCATTATGAGTAGCTTATAGTCACAGCAAAATGTTATAAATATTATAACCTTACTTTTGCTCCCCTTAGATATAAAAACTATTAATAACTCTGGAATCACTCCAAAGGAGATGCTGAAAACCTGGAGATGATCCACAAACCACACATTCTCTTTGAATTTTGGCTGCTATGGTCCACTGATATTGGAAAGAGAATTGTATCCCAAAGAAATTATTCTGACTTTTCCTGAGAGTCAAAACTCAATAGCTTCACATTTCCTCCCTCTCTTCCCCCCAACTTCACTTTCTCTTCTTGTTTCTGGTTACTTACTGTTTCAGTCACTGAAGATAACATAAAGCTCAGAGTTTTGGAGGGTCTTTGCCCAACCTTTGCTAGTGAAAATTACTCAAGTTCTTGTAACTTAGTTTTCTCCTCTGTAAAAGTGAGGATTTGTACAGAAGTCTAAAAATTGCAACCATTAAATGAGTTACTGATCAGAAGAGAATCCTCCATTAGTACCACTTAGATTAACTGTTGTTATTTTAGGTCATTATTTGTAATTCAACAGATTACTAGCCATTCTGCTGGTCATAGGAGGCAGGACAACTCTTTACTCTGGGGAGTCCTCTTCTCCATGATTTGTGGTCAAGGCAAAAACTTCAGAATCCGATTCCTGGAAGCAGTTTATTAGCTACCATTTATTGTCTTTGTAACCTTGGATGAAGCACTTAATTTCTCAGCCTGGTTCCTCATCAGTATACTGAGGATTAATAAAATCTGCTTTGAAGTGTTTTTTTTTGTTTGTTTGTTTGTTTTTGTTTTTCTATTAAAATAGACCTACATATTGCCTGGTGCAAAGTTGGAACGAAATATACACTTCTTTTGCCATAGTCCTGTATTCACATATGAGACTGGAGGCCTCACCCTAAATTTAAAGACCCAGCGCTTTTTTGTAAGGTGTCAGGCGGGAGTGAAGACCGACTGAGAACTGTCTTCAGAAAAGGCAAATCCAAGTAGGTTGGAGAGTACTGTCAACAGAGATAGGAGGGAGACGGAGAGACCGCCCCTGGACTACATCTCCCGGCATGCCCAGCAAGAGGGAGCGCCCTGTCCCGCCCCTCCCCGCCCCGCCCCAACGGCGGGACGGGCGCTGCCCACCCAGTCAGCTAAGCTGCGCGCTGAGGCTACAAGTGCCACGACTGGCGATCCGGCGACTTTCGCGAGCTGCGACGCAAGGACGAGCTTACGGGGAGCAAGCCGCACTGGGCAGCCGAGGCAGGAGGTCAGTGGCCGAGAGTGGGAGGGAGACGAGGCGTTGGGGAAAGGGAGAGACCCGCGGGAGCCAGGCGGAATAGGGGCGCGTGTGCCCACTCCTACCCAATGTGCTTGCCTTGCTTTGGGGTACTCTGCGGACGCCACCCAACTTCGGGTTCCTGGCGGGCGCTGAGTTCACCAGGAATGTATTGATTGATCCTGCGGTGCTGCTGGGTGTACCGCTGCCTGGTGCTAGCGGGCGGCGCGCCCTCCCAGTTCGGCGCGGGCAGGTCGGATCCCGGAGGTCGCCTCCGCCAGACTAGCCTCTCGGCGTCAGTGACTTCCAATGCAAATGTGAATGCTGGTAAAGGACCAGAGGAGGAAGGGACAGTGTGTCCCATCGCTTTGAGGTGCAATTTCTTTAAAAGCACTCTTAAACAGACCAGAAAGAAGAGAGGCGGAGGGCGGAAGGAAAGCGCCTTTAGCCGATCCCCTGGGATTATCCATTCTCCACTGAGGATGGAAGTCCCGGATTATCGAGCTGCAAAAGAAATAGGCTGCAGCTAGTGCATCTCCGAGAGAGCAAGCGGGGATCTCTCTTTTCTTTAAGGAGAGAAGCAGAAGAAGGGAATTAGATGGTGATTTTCCCCCCCTTTGTTTTAAATTGGAAGTCCCATAAGAGACTGCCGATTTTATCTTAAGCAGTCAAATGTGCCGAGTTAATTGTGCGAAAGGTTAATCAGGGCGCCCAATGTCTACTGGAGCTGCGAGGTTTCTCACTTCAATAATTGATGAAATCCGTTACCATCTTTTCGTTCATTGACGGGTCCTGCGTTAGGGGTCTGTCCACTTGTTAAAGGAAATTTCTGGGTTCAATTGTGGTGGGTGCGTATGTGGGTTTTGAGTAACCAGGCAGACCCTCGGTTAGTTTTACTACTGGAGCTGTGAAGTTTGAAGAGTAAAAAGCCCTTAGCCATGAGTTAAATCAATCATTGCCCTAGACTTGGAAACAAAATAAATGGGGCTCTTATTGGAAACCCTGTATTGGTGGTAATGGAAAGTAGATTTTTGTTCCTTGGGATGGATAGTAGAGGTGGAGGGAAATTTCTGCTTAACTCAAAGTTCTGTCCCAGAAACGTCTCTTGCAGCAGTGGGGTTAAGAGAACATCTTGTGTACAAAGTTACATAGATAATCTTTAAAATAGTTTTTCACCTTTTCCCTCAACAGAACTGTAATTCTTTCGGTTTATAACTTGCTTTTTAAAAATTTTCAGTTACTTGTAGATGGGGTTAAAAACTTCTGGGTAGTCAATTTCCTGTGCACTTTTGCTAGCAAAGCATGCAGAGGAAAAGGAACTCAGATCCACTAAGCGGGAGTTAACAAACCTGGAACTGGCAGCTGTGAGTGTATGGAGGAGTGGGCTGGGGTTTTACAGGGACTATACAGTGAGCTTTGTTGTCTATACTTCCCAGTCAAGAACATGCTTCCTTCATGTAGCAGTGAGTGGACAGGTTTAAGAGTGGAAGGACAGTGAATAAGCCTAGCATCTTGTGAGTAGAGATCTCTGTCACTAGTAGTTGTATGAGGTACAAGCATATGGACTGATAAACCAGCCATTTTCCATCCACTTCAAAGCTACTCAAGATGCTGTGCCCCAATTACAATAGAGCTCAACTGATAGGATCCTATATTCATTCACGGACAGTGATGCTCTATTAGAATCAAGAGCATAAACACTTGTGATCTGACTGAGTTGTTAGGAAGTCTCTGCTCCTAGTTCTCCAGAAAATCAGCAGGTCTGCTAAAAAAGGTTCCTGCCTTTTCTCATTTGTGTCTCTATACAGGAAAGCTGCCTTTTCATTTGAGGGATCCTGTCACAGAAATGTGTGAGTGTCCTTGGATAAATTTGGCTTGGTGACGGCAATGCTTTCTTCAGAGACACTCCCACTTCCTCCGTGCGCTTTTTCTACCCTGACCTAAGTCTTTTAGTGTTAATGCCTGAGAAGAGTTAGAGGACTGTCCCTTTTATACTTTCCTGCCTTTAGGTATCCTCTCCTTTTACCCTTTAGGAGGATCTGGCTGAGGTACCTACAACAGTGACTGCTGAGGAGATGGGGTCCTTGGGAGGAGCTCTTCTGGCAGTGCAGCCTTAGCTGCTGTTGGGTTCTTATCTTTATAGCTGTTGGCAGAATTTCTGGAAACACTAGGGGATGTTTGCCTAGCTCCAATGGAGCTCCACTATCTTGCTAAGGGCAGCCAGATAGCTCTGTGTGATGCTGTTGATTGGAGTTCTCGAGGGCCTCCTGGTGACCAGGCAGATGCAGCAGCCACCAAAGCTGCTCTCTGCTGCCAGAGACACTGTGCCTCCACACCAAGAGCAGCTGAGCTAGAAGGGTCTAAACTTAGCCCTGCTCCAGCATCCCCCACCTCCTCTCTGCAAGATTGTGTTATTCAGCCAGACTCCTTCCCATCAGGACCTCTCAACTCAGGGAACAACCAAATGACAGCAGAGCGCAAAGTCTGCAACTGCTGTAGCCAGGAATTAGAAACTTCTTTTACACATGTGGATGAGAATGTCAACTTGGAGCAGAGGAACCATAGCTCCCCTTCATCAAAAGGGAGTAATCATCTAGGAGACCTCGGTTGGAGAAATTCAAATGAGTGGTCGCATGAGGCTGCCATATCCCTGATATCTGAGGATGAAGATGATACAAGTTCAGAAGCCACATCTTCAGGGAAGTCAGTGGACTATGGTTTCATCAGTGCCATCTTGTTCTTGGTCACTGGCATCTTGCTGGTGATCATCTCATACATTGTCCCACGGGAAGTGACTGTGGATCCCAACACAGTGGCAGCCCGTGAGATGGAACGCCTGGAGAAGGAGAGTGCAAGGCTAGGGGCTCACTTGGACCGCTGTGTGATTGCAGGGCTCTGCCTCCTCACTCTTGGGGGGGTGGTTCTGTCCTGTTTGCTAATGATGTCTATGTGGAAGGGGGAACTCTATCGTCGCAACAGGTTTGCCTCTTCCAAAGAGTCTGCAAAACTCTATGGTTCTTTCAACTTCAGGATGAAAACCGGTGCGAATGAGAATACTCTGGAACTGTCCTTAGTAGAAGAAGATGCTCTTGCTGTACAGAGTTAATTTTGGTTATGAACTTCTTGGAATCAGCCCTTGCATTTTATATGAAACAAAACCAAACATATTTCTTAAAGTTAACAGTATAGTTGATTTCCCTGACGAAAAAAAGTTTATATCCCAAATCAATGGCCAATGTTTTTGTTCTCTATTGTATTTTTTTATTTAGAAGAAGTGCTTTGAGAAACCAAATTTGGCTATCCTTCTACAGACCTGAGACTGGTCATAATGGCCATCAGTATTGACTTAACAAAATGTTTCTAGTGACCTACTGTACAAATGACTTCTTTTATAAGATGTGGGATATTATTCTTTGGCTATACCAGGTGTTCTAAACACATAAGAATCAATTAGGTTATCTGTTTTGTGAAAAAGAACTTAAGCAGTAATCACATAATAAGGCTCACATTTAATCCTCAAAGGTGCTTACCCAATTTCTTGCTAAATTTTTTCTTCCTATAATTTGACTAAATACTAAATATGTACATTTTTGATTTTGAATATTTGAAGCTGGAGATATTTGTTATTTAAAAAAAACTGTAAAAACACATGTTATCTTTAAAATTATTCCTGTACTCAGAAGTGTTAGCTAAATCACTAGAATAAATGTTCTTGTAAGTGAAAATTATATCAGTCATTATAAGATCAATCTAAATTTAACCCAGAGTGGTAATGCCAGAAATTAGTGTTGCATGCCCATTTTCTAGATGAAGTAAATTATTAACATAATTTGTTTGTTTGTTTGTGGTTTAGCCATCATACTGATTACCAGCACTCTTGAGGTCTTTCTCATACCAGAGAATCAATGATAGACATCTTTAATCTATTTCTAGACATCTTAGTATTGAGACAGGTCTCAGTCATGACTGGCTCAGAGAAGCTCCCAGGTGACATTTTGTTGTTTGGAGAAGCCCTCCTATACATTTGCAGCTATACGCTTGGGATGGTGTCACAAAGTCAGTAATGCCACTTGTTCTGAATCAAGCAACAGGTTATGACCCCAGAAGGACAGCAGACCACAACCCCAATCCAAAAAAAAATGAACCTAGAAAGAGAGAGTAAGGAAGGCAAACTCATTGAATTAGTGGGAACTGCACTCATCACTGAAATTCACCTGCTGTAACAATGCATTACAGAAGCTCCAGGCATTATTCTGAGTGTCTTATAAATCTGGGCCCTCAGTAACTGTGTCTTCTTGCCCCATGAAGTTTAAACTCTTATTCTAGAAGGATGATGGCAAAGTGGTCACATATTTGCAACAACACTGTCCTTACTAAGATGCTGTCTCTATATGATAATGGTTCAGGATGGGGGTGCAGAAAAACAGCCTAAAAGCATTGCATTTTGCAACTATCCTGTGATGGGTTCCAGTCTCCTGCTGCAAGTTGTTTTAGCTTCCTTTTATTGGGCTCACCCAGATCATTCTGAAAGAAAACTGGAGCTGAATTGGGGTGAGCAAGTGATGTTTTTGTAAGCTCTAAGGCAAATTCTAATGTTGGAGGTTTCATTGTGAACTGAAGAACAGGAATAAAAGGTGACTGGCTAGCAGAGTGTGCAGTCAGGATAGCTCTGTGAATGAGCCCTGAGGGTGTCAGATCTATTTGGTGCACTAGGCATACTGTGTGTTCCTAAGAGTTAAGGTGAAAAGCAAAAAGGAGGCTAGAAGATAGTAAAAATTGAGAAGACAAGTGTATAAAAGAATTATTAAGGTAAAAGCAAGACATGATATTGACATCAGAAGACACTTGCCCTATAGAACAGACTTACTGATTCTCAATAAGATTTTGGGTATTATAAACATAAACATGACTTTTGCCTTCTCTTGCTACTTCTTTGAGCTTTTTGAGCAAAGATTTTGTTGTATTTTGACACTGTCATGGCTTATGTTGAGACCAACTTACCAGTAATATAGATCTCACATTTTGAAAGTTTATAAATTCCCAGGTTGCAATGTGTTTGAGGATCCAATTTGGATGATGTTTAGGCAATGAGGAATGATCTACCTCTTGGTTGAATGAATAGGTCTGAAGTATGTATTTTAAAAACAATCAAATAAACATCTTTATTCATAGAAGCCAAGTGGCATCAGCTGAGTTTGTTTTTATTGATTGATGAAACAGGATTAAATAGTCAAATCATAGATTCAACTGAATTAATGTGCAACCCAATTTTTAGGCAAATTTGGGAATCAAGGGTTAGAATGATTTTCTGTAAAACTGATGATAAAAAAGTGAAAGCTTTTTAGCTTTTCATTTGGATGCACTTAATAAATCTCTCAGTGCTACCAAGTTATACACAGCTGTGATGTGATCTAAAGGATATATATACACATATACATATATGTGTGTGTGTGTGTATCAGTTAGGAAAAAATATTCAGGGAAAAAAAGACTTAGGTCAAAATATATTACTTTCTTTAGGCTTTCAGGTTGAAATGTAGTAAATCAATGCTCATTTCAAAGTTACTTAAATTTATCCATATATTTGGGCACATCTCTTATGGTTCTGTGTGTGGAAGAGCCACTACTCCACCAAATGGAATCCCTGCAAAACTCATCTGGAAGCCTCCTTTTGTGCTGTGTTGACATAATTCAGAAAACTGCCTTAATCAATTTTCCCCAGGAAAGTTGTGTAGTCTTAGCCCATCCTGTCAGTGCCAAATTTAAGATGAAGATGAAGATCACTTGAATTTAAAGTGATGGTAACACAGGGAAAGAAAACTTCTCAACTTCAAGCACTGTGGTTTCCAGTCTGATAAAGACGTTTTGGATCTAACTGTTCATTTGGAAGTACTTTGGCAAGACCAGGTCATAAACATTACAGATTTTGCACTGATGATAGCCTTGCAGGCCTTGACTCCCTCATGGAGATTTGTGCGCCTCTAGCTAGATCTCTGACATGATGCTGGTTGTTACCAGAGAGTATATAGGGCTGGCTCTGGAGAAGCAAAAAAATCTTTCTTTCAGAGTCTCATAGTTTAGGTTCTTCACCTTATTCACTAGGTTTTAGAAAACTAAAGTCAGTCACCTTCCTAATCTGGAGAGAAGGCGGCTTATTGTTCAACAGAGTGGTCCAAAGGGATGAGTACCAGAAAGAACGCTGCTTTCTCTATTTTTTTATTGGGACTTATGTGCTGCTAGTGGATACTTTAATCTTGATGACTTCTGTAATTAAACAGTTCCTTTTTAGGGCATCTTAAACTGCTTCAGATCAAGTTAAAGACACAACTTTGCCAGGATGTATGTTCTTCTAACTAATCGGAGTTACTACAGCTGGCCATGTATTATGATGTACCGGCTCCCCATGAGAAGGATGTCTTTTCTCCCAGCACCCCATTTCCTAGTTGACATATAGTTTATAGGCGCACAGGACTGCATCCAACCATGTTTCTTGGTGGGTATGGGCACTTTAGCCACACGACAGCTGTGCCATTAGATTCTGTACTAGCTACGAGTCTGCCCTGATGCCAGGGTCACATGCTTGGTTGTCTGCTTAAAATGTCTGAGTTTATCTGCTGTACTATGTGATTTCAGGGTCCAGTTGGGCTAGTGCTGGGACACATCTTTCAAGGTACAAATTTAGACAAAGAGAGACTGCCCCACCACATTCATTTCTGCCCTCCCTGTGCCTTCTAGGTAAAAAAAAATAAATGAATGAACATCATGCTTGTTGATACCAACAATTAAGGATATAAACCCAAGTGGTTCTTTTTATTGTTGTTGTTGTTACTTTGTGATTAGCAACAACTGTAAGCAAGATAATTTGAACACTCAGCCTCACCTTTACATGTGCAGTGATATATACATGCAAATTTTTACTTGGACTAACTCTCTAAAGTGAAGGGAAATTACTCTATCCATTTACAAGAAGAAGGCTTTTCAATGTGAAGGTCAGACTTCATTGGAACAATTAACTGCTACCACAAAAATGTGGTCTGACAAAAGAGATTCACAGCCTTTACCAAGGGTTCACCTATTCAGCAAGATTTAATACCACCAGTGACAAAAGAATAAGACAGTTCCTCATAGTTCTATTTGTGATTTAACCTTTCCCAGAATTGAGCATAACGAATGACTCTGATGAGAATTATAATGAAGTTTCACTGGCTGTTCCCATCATAAAAGGGTTTGTAAGAAAGAATTAGCAGATTTTGTAGCAGCATTTTATGGTTCATAGTATTCTGTAATATTTTCTTCCAATGTTTCTGAGCATAAGCCTTGGGAAATAATTTGCCTGACTTGTGCGCTGACATTGTAAAAAGTAAGATGTTATTTTAAATACATGAAATTGATTTATAAAAATCTATGGTTTACACTTGTGTGTACCTGTAGTTTATAGTTTGTGTGCAAGTTTATGTACATTCAAGTCTCTATATGTATTAGGAGAATATTTTATAATTATGGAACTGTAATATCCAAAGCTATTGTTAAAATTTCTGTAGGAAACTTGGCATGCCTTAATGTTGATTTTAAGGACAAGAGAAGTCTTTCACAGGTTATGAATGAAGAATTTGGACTCAAACTCAGAATAAGGTACCATATATATAAATCTGTTTTGGTTATTCATCCCACAAATGTTTGTTGTTTTTGATTGTCTCATTTTTAGGCTCATAAAAGTGTAGCATATTTAGACTTATTTTACCATGAACTATTATTTTATTTCAGGGAAATATGGGAAGCAGATAGTATCTTCCTCTGCTCCAATTTTAGTGACTCTCCTGTATTTCAGGGATAATCTGATTTCTTTTCCCACTGCCATCTTCCTTTTCTTCATTTTTTTAGTCAAGTTCTGAGCATAGGTCATACAAGAAAGCAAAGATGGGTTACTGCTTTAGTATATGCAGAGTTTCTTTTGTGATTCAGTGTGATTTTATTTTACTTTAATAAGCAAGAAAAATAATTTGATGTTGGTATGTTTTTTGAATACTATATAAAGGTAGTTATTAAAGTTATAAGCTTTTTCTTAGGGCATTGGATGCCTTATAAATTAATAGCAAGTGTGTCATATAATTTTAAAATAAAACTATTTATTAAGATTGTTGTGTTTTCATTTTTGATGACTCATTTTTATATTTAATGTTATCTGTTAAAAACTAACATTTACCCATTTACTCCCCAGTTCTGGTATAACTTTCTTCTTGTTTACCATGTAACTAAACAATGAAAACTATGTCCTTATGAGTTCTGTTTTTGACCCAAATAGTCAAATCTAGCTGGGTTTGTCTAAATCAGTAGTGGATTAAAAGTGTGTACTTAAAAATACCTATATGAATAGGTATTTATAAAAATACTTATAAACAAATGGAAATCATACCAAAAATTTGCTTTTCGATAATGGAATGGTTCCTCAGAGTGTAAAATATATTAAAACTTGTAGTCATCCTATATGTTGTCCCCACTGAGGTTCAGATGAGCCTATACTAACATTTTTTTCCCTTGGAACTAAGGAGAACATGTAGTTACTCTTCCTGTGCACAATAATCCTCACTGGATTTGTACTGTTTTCAGTAAGGAAATCAAAGATGCAAAGAAAGTTGTATTTGAGTGCTATGTGCTAGATATTCTGTTTTTATGTAGTGTTTACTTAATCATCATAATCTGAGGTGTAAGGATCTCAGAACCAAGGAAGCAAGTGACTTGACTGTTCTTTTACTCCTGTCAAGCCATCGGAGCCATAGTCTCTTCGTCCACAAAATCAGGTAATAATACTATTTGTTTTGCAGGACTCTGATGAAACTTAAGATAAATTACAGGAATGCCAAGAGACAGTCTTATCTGGGATCCATCCTTGAGCCACCATTATCTTAAGTGGATTGCTTTGAAATAGCAAGCACCATGTTTTTGAAGGTATTTGCTCACACTGATTAAATACTGACTGACAACTGAACTGGGTCATCTTCATGATGAAAACTCCTTTTCCTCCTAGTCCTTTTTCCTTCTCTCTGCCCTCTAACTATGCCCCTCCTTGCCCCTTTTCAGTCTCATCATCATCTGTAGAGGCCATTCATTAGATGGCCTCTTACTTCCATTATAGATATATTTCACAAAGAAAAGAAAATGCTACATCCCTTTATAAGACACAAAATCAACCTGGAAAACTGCATTTTGCTCAATTGTAGGGTAAAATGTGCTAATGCTGTGGACCATAATCCTCCAGACCTTGACCTTGAATAGAGTTCCAATGATCAATACACTATGTGGCAGAAAACTGTGTGTATATATATGTATATACATATGTGTATATATATATATATAACTGAATAGATTGGAATTTATATATATATTTATAAATCCATTATATATATTTATAAATTTATATATATGTATATATATATATATAAATTCCAATCTAGCTTTTATTGCATTTTCTTTCAAAAACTATGCTAATTTTTTTTCAGTTATATTTGAACAGAAGAGTTTTCCCATAGGAAAAAAAACTCATTTAGTAATTTTTTTCTTTTTTTATATTCATTGACTTAAAACTTAAAAAAGATTCTATTCCATGAACATTCTGCCAAATGAGTATTCTCCTTCACTGCCAATTAACCGTATCAAAGTATGTAGGTGCTTGTATTGAATTTATTTTTGACTGTCATTTAACCTTGCCCATGTTCTGCCAAGTTAGCAAAATTAACTGCTCTGGAACACAGATGACATTAAGGAAAATTGCTGAAAGTTTAACTCATTTCCCCATGATACTTAAATGACACAGTCAGCAATGCCCCCTGCTGCTCAGTGAATCCATAGCAGGAGAAACAGGGCATCAGAGAAGCAAGCAGGCAAAGCCAGGACTTGCCTTAAAATGTATCTTATACAAAGGATGAACTTAGGAAAGAATTCCCTGGTTGCAAGCACAATGAAAGGTGACTAGGAAAAATTGATACTAGATCCTAAATAATAATAGATGAGGATGAGAGAGACTTGAGAGACAAAATGTCATTAACTAATGACAACACCTTCTGTCAAAGATCATAATAAAGCCAGAGTTTTTTGGATAATCTCAAAAGAACAACCATTAGACTGAAGCCAGGGGTCAAGAAACAAAGAAGCAATTCAAATTGGAGGAAGGAAATTTTGGGGTATTGTTATTGGCACATGGAACTGATAGAAACAGGCAGCACAGTAGCCTAAGTTTCTAAAGAAATGTTATTGACAAAGAAGTCTTTGATTCTGAATCTTTAAGCATAACACTTGGGCCCCCAAACTTGTGCTAGTAGGAAGGAAGCAGGTCTGAAAATATGTGCACACTTCATGGAGGGTGTACTCCTGAATACCCATTTTAGATGTGACCATTGAGAATAAAGGAACAGGAAGTAATTCCTAGAACAAGGGCATTGGGGAAGAGGGGACAAGTGAGTTTCTTCCAGAAAGAACAGAGCCTGGCTAAAGAATATACTCCACTCTCAGCACAGAAGGACCACATGATACCTGCCTGAGAATGTCAATATTTCTGTGGATCAATAATTATTGCATCCCTTTTCCATCATTTTATATTTTATATGAGGTATAATGTGTATTTTATAGTTTTCCAGACCCCCAAAAGACATCTAGACCTTAGGGGGAAAACTGTGCACTTCCAGTAGGCCTTGGATTGAGATCTGGGGTACTAGCTTGGATCTCTGAGTAATCCCTTGGGAGTTGAGTATGTCTTGTGCGTATGAGAAAGGGTGAACAATGACAGAGCTACCAAAGATAAAATCCCATTTTCTTTGTAGAGTTGTTGTTAGAGAAGGAGACACTACATTCCCCAACTCCCTTTTCATTTACTTAGAGCTAAATGACTAAGTTATAGTAATACAATATGAGCAAAACGATGTGTTTCACTTCTAGGCTGAAATAGTTATGGAAACTGCATACCTTTATTGTTATCCTCTACCATCTGGCTGATGGTTAACTTCATGTGTTAACTTGACTGGGCTAAATAAAGCCCAGATGGTTGGTAAAATATAATTTCCTGGATGTGTCTTTGAGAAGCTGAATAGGTAGACTGAGTAAAGAAGCATGGAGGTTTTCAGTCTGTTAGCCCTCAATCTTACTGTCACATCTAACTGTAAGGGAGACTGGGAAATGTAGTCTAATAGTACACCCAAGAAAAAGAAGACATGGGTTCAATAGTTGGCCACTTTGCCAAAATGTATGACCTTGTTGTATCTAGTTTCCTGTTTGATGTTTACTTATTCTAATGATTTTCTTCATTTCTGCTAACCAACATTTTTCTCTAGGAGTATTTGATTTGCATTTTCTCAAGTGAATTTGGTTAAGTAGGTCATGGTAAAATCTCAATCTATACTATTACAATGTATAATTTATATATCACCACATAACAAATTACCCCAAAACTTAATGGGCTGAAATAAAAATAACCTTTTATTATCTCACACAGTTTCTGTGAGCCAGAAGTTTAGCTGTGTGGTTTGGCCCAGGGTCTCTTGAAATGTTGCAGTCCAAATATTGGCGAGGGCTGCAGTATTTTAAGGTTAGACTGAAACTGGAGGACTCCATTCCAAGATGGGTCATCATATGGCTGGCAAGTGTGTGCTGACTATTGGCAGGAGGCCTCTGTTCCTTCCCAAGTGGACCTCTTCAAAGGCCCTTTTGAATTTCTTCACAACATGACTGCGGAGGACACCTACAGAGAGTGATCTTAGACATAAAGGAGGCACTGCAAAGTTCACTATGGTATAGTTTCAGAAGTCAACAACCACTCTCCCTTCCACTACACTCTCTTCATTAGAATAGTCACTAAATGCAGCCCACATGCAAGGAAAGGGGGAACTAAGCTCTAGCTTTGAAGGGAGAAGTGCCCAAAAGTGTGTATGCATTTTAAAATCTCCATACTCTGTTTTGGGGCCTCCCTGGTGGTACAAGGGTTAAAGCACAGCACTATGAAGCTATCCACAGCCACTGCAGTAGAGGGTGATCCCTGACCAGGGAAGTGACATGGCACAGCAGAGCCCACTGCTCCCCTCAGCAGTGTACTTCAGTTGGATTACCTATTCTGCTCCCCGCTCTTTCTCTGGTGAATCCTCTCACCCCCAACCCCCTTGCATCTCTGGCCAGTACCCCAGTTCTTGTTTGCGTAAATAAATAAATCTTAAAAAAAAAAAAGTAAAATCTCCATTCTCAGTGTTTGATTTTTCTAAATTCCTTCATCACCTTAGTGTTGCTAATACAGTACTTCTTTAACTAATTGATATTCTAATTAACTTCTTTGTTTAATTACTACTTTAGCTAAAATCCTACTTTTAGGATATTAATTATATCCTTTAATTAGAATATGTTAATGAGAGTTTTGGATTTGATCTTAGAAAAAACAAAACTGATTTTGAGTCTTACAGAGAAAATCAGGCTCTCAAGCCCAAATGGAGGGAGATAAAGGTCTATGGATATGGACATTTTAATGAATAATAAACTGCCCTTGACAAGTCAAGTATCTCACTTCAAAATATGAGGTGAATAACATGATTTGGGGAAATAACCTCCATTTCCAGTCTCTTTCTGTGCTTTGAATTGGCAAACCTATCCAATTCTCAAGAAAAATATCTGTAGTTACCTTTTATGGTGGAGAATCATTAACACATCTTATTAACAAGTGATTTACATATTAACAAGAGGTTGAAAATAGAAGCTAACACTATGGGTGCTTTAATGTGCTAGGCCGTAGTTTTCACATTTACTCATTTGATCCCCACAGCAAGCCTATCAGGACGCAGATTACCCTAATGTTATTCATGAGCAAAGTTAAATTTACCACAGAAATTATTAGCTTGCCCAAGGTCACACAGCTCATAAGTGGCAGAGCTGGAATTTAAATGCAGAGTCTGGTGGTTAATACACTTGCTTGAGGTTAAAGCTAGAAAATGGTGAAGCTGAGACATCTCACCCAGATCTGACACAAAAGTCCGTGTTTTTTGTATCTATAATCGGCTGCCATTTAATTCTGTAGTTTGTTTCACCTAAACTGCCTGTTTTTCCCTCTGCCAAGGCTAACCTC